AAAACAGGTGTGGACCTATGTGAGAGCTCCTGGTTAGGACATGGAGAGAGCCTGGATACCTGCATCACAAAGCAGGGCTCCATTCCCCTCTCAGCTGGGATATCTGAGAGAAACCTGCTGTGCTGCATGAACCACAGCCCTGTTGATAGCCTTTACCTGGCAGTGTGTGCCTGGCAGCAGGTGCCCCAAAATGCAGAAGGGAGCAACAAAGAACCTGAGAACTTACGGTTTGCTCTGAAGAAAGAAGAGAGGAGGCAGAATTGATCTTTCTGCCTCAAACAGCCTTTATTCCCAACAGGACTGAAATGGATTTTTTGGACTCTACCCATCTATTCCTCCCTCACTTGCCACCAAGTTAAACAAAAAAAAAAAAAAAGAGAAAACTGAATCCATAGTGCCTCAATTAGAAAAAAGTAAACGAGGCAATGCAAATACCTAGGAATTAAGAAACATTTGAACAGAGATAGAAAAGCTTAAGAAAAACGATAGAAGTCCAAAGACCTACATGTAAAGGACACAGAACTGGAGAACCTAACAAAGATTTTAAAATGACAAAACCAAACAAAAACTTAACTGAGGTTATTAAAATGGCAATCAAATACACAGGCAGATACAGGGTCTTAGAAAAGAGATCCTGGGGCCCTCCCTGGTGGCACAGTGGGTTAGGATACAGCACTGCAAGCCAGCCGCAGCCACTTCAGTGCAAGTTTGATCCTCTGCTCTGGAGGTGATCCACATGGCACTGCAGACCTCTCCTGACGGGTCCGCTGCTTCCCTAGCAGTGTACTTCCTCGATCTGCCTGTTCTGCTCACCACCCCTGCACCTCTGGCTTGTACCCTAGTTCGTATGAATAAAATAAATCTTAAAAAAAAAAAGAAGAGAGAGAGAGAGATCCAGGAACAAAAAGAGTTCTTTATTGAAGAGACTGAAGAAATAAAAGGACCAAAAATGCTGAGCAAGATGAGGACAAATACAGAGAACTTATATTAAATAGGCGTAAGCTGAGCAAAGAGAAAAATTTGGAAATTGAAGGCACAAATCAAATGTACAAACAACCCAAGTGGAAGAATATACAAACAACCCAAGTGGAAGAAAAGAGAAATAAGATTTAGGAAAAATGAAAACTCTGCAAGACTCAAACTAAAGTCTATCAGACTCATCTGGAATAGGAAGCCTAAGAATACTGGGCATTCCCAAAAGTGAAGAAAGGGAGAAGGGACCCAGCCTCTGGCAATAACCACGAGGAAGGGAGGAACGTGGAGTTATTGTTTAGTGGACACAGAGCTTCAAATTTGCAAGAGCTCTGGAGATGGAGGGTGGTGATGGTGGCACAACTATATAGATACCCTTAATAACACTGAACTGTATACTTAAAAACGGTTAAGATGCCAACTGTTATTTTACAATTAAAAACAAATTTTAAAATCACACTGCTCACTTCAGCAGCACATCTGAGAGAGAGAGAGAGAATGAGTGCATGCACGAGTGAGCGCCAGCCCAAAATAGCCAAGGAGAGTATGTTCAAAATGCTAAGACCCAAGAGGGGTAAACAAATTAAGCCCAAGTCCAAGGTAGATTGAGCTCTGAGCCAAGAATTCCTGCCTTCTTGTTATACGAACTAGGGTGCCAAAAGAAAGAATGGCCTAGTGGTGGCCCTCACAGAGCCTTCTGGCAATGATGTCTCCTTCTAATATAGGTATTAAATGAACAAGCAAAATGGAAACCTATGGTATTATTGGACATTAAGCATAAAATATGCTTAAGTTTCCATGGACCTTACAAGAGGTAGCCAATTATAAGTTTAATGGAAATTAAATAGCTGCTGAGGGCCAAGCAGAAGGCCCAAGTTTTGTTGATTTTGAATTTCTACAAAAACACATTAACAGGGAAGTAGCCATCACTTTCCCTGAAGGGGAAAAAAAAAAAGTATCTCTTTTATTTCTTTTAAATTATGAAGCTTCCACAAAGAATGACAGCACAAATATAGCACATTTTAATCTATGCCAACAATTGGATACTCATACAAAAACGGAAGTGGCTAAAATTTTCCACGGCTGTCTTGCCTGTCCCAGCCTTTTATGGAAAAAATTCTAAAAATATATCACAACCCAGACTAATATTAAGGGACATGGTATGTAAATGTAATACCAGCATAAAATTGCAATGTGTCTGTTCTTGTGGAACCCAGAAAATACTGTGAATAAATTGCATGATTGACAAAAAAAAAATGTTCTTTAATTTAGGGAATAAAATGTTTTTTAAATATGTATTCTTTTATCACACTTACACTGTACATAATTTAAAAAACCAAATAGTTCTACAATGAAAGTTGATTCAGTAAGAACTATCTTAAAAAGTGCATTAACAGAACAAAAAAAAACTGCAGAAAAAGCATTAAACAAAATTCAAGTTCTTTTCATGATTAAAACTCTTAGAAAACTAGAATAGAATTTCCTTAATCTCATAAAGGGTATCTACAAAAACCCTACAGTAATATTATACCACCTACTGATGCAAAAATAGAATCTTTCCCCCTAAGATTAAGAACTGGGCAAAGATGTCAACTCTCATCAATTCTATTCAGTTGTGTAAAGCAGCCCTAGAAGGGGGCGGGGAAAAGAACAGGGAAGATTTATAGACTGGAAAGGAAGGATGTGAAACTATTTGTAGATAACAAATCATCTATGTAGAAAAATCCCAAAGAATCTCTTGGGGATTTACCAAAAGGAAAAAAATAATAGGTATTTATACAAAGGTTCATATACAAATGTTTATAGTAGAGTCATTCATAACTGGAATGGAAACAATCCAAATATATATCAAAAGCTGAATGGACAAATTAGGTTTAATATTTATGGAATATTATTTGGTAATGAAAAAGAACAAACGACAGATGAATCTCAAAAGTATTATGATGAGTTGAATAAGTCAGACACAAAAGAGTACATATTGTATGACTTCATTTATATGAAATTCTAGAAAAGGCAAAACAATGGTGACAGAAAGTAGATCAGTATCGTGCTAGAGTAGTGACTGCAAAGGTGTACAGAAAAATGTTAGGAGTTAATCAAAATGTTCTATGTCATGATTGTGGTGGTGGTTACAGTACATCATCAAGATATGAAAATAAACACTTAAAATTAGCAAATTTTATTTTATGCAAATTATACTTGTGTAAATTATACTTCAGTAAAGGTGATTTTAAAAAGATTTTAAAGAAAATATTACATAAAATTATATATGTGTGTGTGTGTGTATATATAGATATATATATATGCAACATACAGAGAACTGTACAATAACCTTTTATTTCTCAAAAGTGGGAGAGGTGTCTTGTAATTTTATAAACTTGGTTTTATAACTGCAATGCAAAAATCACTCCTTGTATAATACAAAGAAATCTCTACCAGTTTGTAACAACATTTACTAATGATGCAAACAATAAAGCAGAGGCAAAGCAGAAAGTGACCCTCTATGTCAAGGAAGCCAAACTGCATTAATGTCATCATTAGCAACGACCCACAATATTGACAGGGAGAAATAGCTGTGTGCCAGGCATCCCTCAGCCTACCACTTAGAATATTCTTCATTTGTAGCTGAAGAAGAAACTTTATCTCTTGCAACTGATACAAGTCCTAACAGTGGCAGATAAAGCAAAATAGTACAACCCATGCTGCAGTTTTAAAAGTACAAGAAACACAAACATGACTTTGCAAGTCACCTCATATTTTCAGGATAAGGCTATTTTCCACTTAAATGTAGAAATTAATTATAACGTACATAGGAGGGATAATGCCATATAACAGAATATGTGAGTTAGTCACCAAAAATTCATCTCTTTTTAATATATTTGACTTATATGTTTATTGCTATTTCTTCCCACTAGAAATGATACTTCATAATGACAAGGATTTTTGTCTTTGCTACTCACTGCAATATCCCTAGTGCCTAGACCAATGCCTAGTGTAAGTAATTACTCAATGACAGAATTATGTCCACATAGATATTAAGTAAATATATTTATAGCACATTTATTCTATTGTGTAGATATTATTCACAGATAAACATAATAAACTCCCACACTTTCTCATATAGTTTTTTTGATTGTACAATTTGTCTAACAACCAATTCAAACAAGCTTTCAAGCTATGTGATTATTTTATGTGTTTCTTCATTCCAAAATTTTCTGGTGTGTATTTGCATTCGTAATTAAGAACAAATGCATCTTTATAAAACTATAGAGTTTTATACAAGAATATCTCAATTAGCAATAGCAAGCCTCAAGATTTCCTGTAACCATTTCCACCAATCTATCTCTCTGTATATACTGGTTACCCTATCCAGAATCCACCTCTAACACTTCCGGCTAAGCAAACACACATTTCTCTGTAAATCTAACCTGTCTACAACCCAGTATCCCAGTTAAGAATCCTTTATAGAGCCCTCCTTGGTGGCGCAGCCGGTTAAAGCACAGCGCTAAGAAGCTAAAGCCACTTCCACATGAGTTCAATCCCCACTTGCCCCCGGAGGAGATCCACATGGTGCGGCAGACCTCTCCTGACCCGCCCGCTGCTCCCCTAAGCAGTGTACTTCGTCGATCGGCCTGTTCTGCTCCCCACTCTGTCCCTGGTGAATCCTCTCACCCTCCGCATCTCTGGCCTGTACCCCAGTTCTGTATGAATAAATAAATCTTAAAAAAAAAAAGAATCCTTTATAATACTAGTTAGCCTCAATACTTTGAGGCTATGTAGAAAATCTCACAGTCCTTTTGTGACTACTTAGAACCACAATCTGACTTCCAAAAAAATCCTAAATCCCTTTTGGGCAGGCAATATTAAATGTTTTTCTTATGGACGTTACAGAATGTCCATAAAAGTTTATTTGTTGAAATTAATGAATTTTACTGAGACTAAAGATGACTAAGGACACAAGAATTAATGTAAAGCTACAAAAGATAAAGAAATATGTTTGCATATAAGACTATATGCATCAAACTTACCAGTAGTGTCTGTCCTTGTGAAATGAAGAAATGACCTGATATAACTATAGTAAGAACAAGATATCCAGATTCTTCATTGGAATCAAAAACCTTGAAAAGAAAAAGAAATATGTCTAAGGCAACATATTCCTATAAACCTGTAATACTGATAGCAAGCAATTTTCTCCCATTGATCTTCCTTTTGGTGAATGCCTGCTTTCTTTTCATTTATAGTTTTAGGTTTGTCTTCACATAGGGACTAACAACCAGGCTTGTAAAATATGTAATTAAAACCAACCAATTCTTTTAAATCAAAAGAATGCCAGATTAAGAATTAAGGTCCATGGGGCCTGGACCAACCACATTTTAGTTATGGATTAATAAATCATGAATTTCTTAGGGTCTCAATTCGCCCTCTATAAAATGGTGATAATGCCTTACAGGGTTGCTGAGTTTCAACTTCTTCAGCCATATAACCCATTCTGCATTCCTCAAAACTTGGCACATTCCTTTGGATGAACTCTAATTTGTCAATGACATTCTTAAAATATGGTGCCCCAAACTGACTGTATTCTTGGTGTAGTCTAATTATCTATCCCCTGTTGGCTGCAGTAGTGCACCCTACAATCACATTTACCTTTTGAGGGGGTAGCCCAATTGAAGAGTTTCATATGGTTATCAATAAAATCTGAAACTTTACAACTTACATTGGTAAATGTTACTTTTGTTATTTTTAATCACAATCTAAATGTGGGACCTTGGACTTATGCCCATATCTATTTTATTCTGTTATATTTGTGGTAGGGAGTTGAAGTAATAAAATAAAAATGTCAGGGAGGACATGATTGATAGATAATTATCAAGTATGATTTGGGTCTTAAGTGATTAGACTTTATAGGTGGGTTTAATCATCATAAAAAACACTAAGATAGGGCCCTCCCTGGTGGCGCAGCGGGTTAGAGCATGCACTGAGAAACTGAAGCCACTTCCGCATGAGTTCGATCCCTGCCTGCCCCGGAGGCGACCACATGGCGGCAGACCTCTCCTGACCCGCCCGCTACTCCCCTCAGCAGTGTACTTCGTCCATCTGCCTGTTCTGCTCCCCACTCTGTCTCTGGTGAATCTTCTCACCCTCCGCAACTCTGGCCTGTACCCCAGTTCTGTACGAATAAATAAATCTTAAAAAAAAAAAAAAACACTAAGATAAACATTTTTGTATAAGTAAGATGAAATTAGAGATTCACCTTAATGTGCAAGCTCTAAATAATTATCACACACCTAACTCAATATTGTGTATTTTTATATGGTTTATACTGCATTCTACAGAGAAATCATATTATAGTTTCATATCTGGGGCTGGGAATTTTAATGCTATGCTAAATTCAAGATTTCCCATTAAGTTTTCTCTAATTCCTTTAAAATTTCAAACTTAAAAATTGAGTAATGTTCTCAGTTTCAAGGAGAGTATATTAAGCCTTGCACTGTTTCCGTTAGTGGTTATATTCTGCATCTTTCCCATTATTAGGAATATAGTTATTTGTATGACACTCTCCCTGTTATAATTTAAATGGGATATTTTGTGACTATTTAGAATCACAAGGGTAGATAGGGGTAAGCACAGCTTTGCAGACTAAAGTTTAATCAATAAATTCTTTGGAAGGCAGTATGTAAACATGACAATTACTTTTTTTTTTGAAATATAATATAATACATATATGCCTAGAAAAGTACAGCTCAATGAATGAAAGAAAGAATAATTATCTACCAAGAGAAAATAGAGAACATTACCAGGTACCAGAAGTACCCTAGCACTATTTCCCATTCATTACCTGCTATCTTCTCCCCATAAGGAAACCTGCCCATCCTATGCCTTAAATGTAAATAAAGACGATAATGATTCTGGGTGATGCCAAAATCCTCACTGCTAGTTAGAGAACAAATCTTTAATGACAACAAGAGTTTCTTATCTCAGTATTAATTCTAAATGTAAATGTAATAAATTCACCAATTAAAAGACAGAGTTTCTGTTGGATCAATACACAAAATTCAACTATTTGCTGTCTCCAGGAGGTGCACCTGAGCACCAAAGGTACACACAAACTCTAAATAAAGGTCTGAAAAGCAATCCCACAAGCAAATTTTATCCAAAGTAAGATAGAAACAGTCATACTTAGATCAGATAAAACAGATTTCCAGCTAAAAAAGGTAATAAGAGAGACAGAGATGAACACTGTATAATGACTAAGGGAACAATACATCAGGAAGACATAAAACACTCATCAACATAATATGCAACAAATAAGGAGCACCAAAATATATTAGGCAACTGCTATCAACTCCGAAAACAAGCATCAGAAAAAAAACACATTTGTGGCAGAAGACTTCAGTACCCCACTCTCACCAATGGACAGATAAACAAGACAGAATATAAATGGGGACACAATATCCTTAAACAAAGAATAGACCGCGTAGGCCCAAAAGATATCTATAAGGCAATGCACCTCAAAAAAGAAGAATACATATTTTTCTCAATAACACATTCTCTAGGACTGACTACATATTAGATCATAAGCTTCAACAAGTTCACAAAGACTAAAATCATATTGTCTTCTTTGACCATAAAAATATCAAACTAGAAATAAGCTATAAAAAAAATTCTCTAAGACATGGAGATTAAACAGACTACTTAAAACACTACTAGTTACTGAGGAAATTGAATTTTTTTATTATCCCATCTATGTTTTATAATTTATATTTTTTACATCATTATATATTCCCCATAAAATACCCACCACCAGTTCAACCTGTGAACCAAACCATCACCCTTGCACTCTTCTCTTCCCTGTTTTGACCTCTTTCCCCCCCTCTTCCTTGTAGAATGTTTCTTATTTATGGTTGCCTGCTGGTTTTGTTGCATTACTTTTTCCCTTTGATTCCTTATTTGGTTTCCCTATATTCCTCCTATAAGTGAAACCATATGATATTTTTCTTTGCCACTTGGCTTATTTCAATGAGCATGACCCCTTCAAGCTCTGTCCATGTTGCTGCAAATGGCTTATATACTTTTTTGATTGCTGAAGAGTATTCCATTGTGTATCTATACCACATCTCAAAGAAGAAGTCTGTTTTTAAAGATTCATTTATGCATACAGAGCTGGGGTACAGGCCAGAGGTGCAGGGGCAGTGAGAGGATTCACCAGAGACAGAGTGGGAAACAGAATAGGCTGACTGACAAAGTACACTGCTGAGGGGAGCAGTGGGCAGATCAGGAGAGGTCTGCCGCACCAGGTGGATCACCTCCGGTGTGGGGATTGAACTCATGCTGAAGTGGCTTTAGCTTCTTAGTGCTGTGCTTTAACCTGCTGCACCACCAGGGAGGGCCCTCAAAGAAGAAATTTTTAAAAATCAAACCTCAATACAAATGGCAATGAAGATGCAACCTTCCAGAATTATGGGACACAACAAAAGCAGTACCAAGTGGGACACAGATAGTAATATAGGTGGCAAACAAATAACCTCATCCCTCACCTAAATGAAATAGAAAAAGAACAAACAAAATCAAAAGCCAGCATAAGAAATGAAACAGTAAAAGAACAGAAGTAAATGAAATAGAAAGAAACAAAACCATCAACAAAACCAAAAGCTGGTTTTATGAAAAAATATTTTTTTAATTAACAAACCTTTAGCTTTGAGGAAAAAAATCACAAAAAGAGGGAGAAAATTCAAATAAATAGAATCATAAAAGAAGTTACTACACAGCAGAAATTCAGAATATAATTAAAATTGCAATGAATATGTACAAAAGCTCAACAATCTAGATGAGGCAAATAAATTAGAATTATATAGTCACGTAAGGATGAACAAAGATACCGAAAAACTGAACAGACCAGTCACAGTGAGAACACTGAAACAGTAGTCAAAACTCTCCCCACCCCCAAAAATGTACAGAAGTAGATGATTTCACAAGAGAATTCTATCAATCCTTAAAAGATGAACTAATTCCTATCCAAAGAAGTGGCAGTTTATAAAAAATAAAAACCCAAAATCAGTTGTCCTCCTATATGCAAACGTGCCAGAAGAGGCAGAAAATAATTCCATTTATGATGACACCAAAAAAAAAAAAAAAAAAAGAAAGAAAGAAATACCTAGGAGTAACTTAACAAAGATGAAGGGTCTTTACACTGAAAACTATGACGCTGTAAAAAGAAGTGGAAAAAGCCATAAAGAAATAGATATTCCCTGCTCATGGATTGGAAGAATTAATGTAGTCAAAATGATCACCTTACCCAAAATAATACACAGCTTCAAGGCAATCCCAACTTAGTGCACAAAGGATCTGAAAAGTTACTTTTTCAATAATGTTAAAATGGCCAAAGGTACATGAAATGGTGCTTAATATCATTAGCTATCAGGGAAATACAAATCAAAACCATAGTGAGATGTCATCGTCAGAATGGCTATTATCAAAAACACAAGGATTAGGAAGTGCCTGCAAAGATGTGAAGAAGGGGGATTTTACAACAGCTGGTAAACTGGTATAGCCATTATGGAAAAGAATTACGGAATTTCTTCAAAAGCATTTCAAATAGCTCTACCATACAATCGAGAAGTCGACTTCTGGGTATATAGCTAAAGGAAAGGAAACCACTCTTCTGAAGAGTGCTTTGCACTCCCATGTTCGCTGCAGCATTATTTATACAGAGTCATGACATGGAAGCAACCTAGGAGACTACTGAAAATCGAATGAAGAAAATTTATGTATGAGTACACATATACACCCAGTGGACTATAAGACATTAAAAAGAATGAAGTCCTGGCATTCAAAACATGTATAAATCTTAATGGCATTATTCTAAGTGAAATAAGTCAGAGAGAGAAAGATAAATACTGCATCATCTCTCTTTTATGTGGAATTTTAAAAAATATGAATGTGAAACAAATTGGTCATTACTAGACGAAGGGGTGAGGGATAAAGGAAATGGGTGAAGGTGGTGAAAACATATAAACTTCCAGTTAGCTGATAAGTAAGTTCTTGGGGCATAATGTACAACATGACAAAAGTTACTGCACAGTACATTTGGAAGTTGCTAATAGTAAATTTCAAAAGTTTT